CGAAGAAACTCAATACTCAAAGAACATGTGCAAAATCATCAACAAGCACCACTTCGAGAGATTGGGCAATGTGCTTAAAGACCCTGCTGTTGCGGCTTCCATTGTATATGGCGGTTCATTGCATGAAGAAGAGCTGTAAGTTTGTGACGGCTCAAGTCTCACGGGCTTAAATTTTCCGCTCTCAAGATACTGCCATTTGGTATAAGTAGTTTAATGAAACATTGGTTTTCTGATGCCAGAGAGTTAACTGCATTCTCACCATTGGTTCAAACACCGAGTCTCCAAGTTTCCCTTGACTTCGGTATTGTTCCGATTTTGGTATTTGCAGGTTCATTGAGCCAACAATTCTACTGGATCCTCCTCTTGATGCTGAGATAATGACGGAAGAAATCTTTGGCCCGCTGCTTCCGATAATCACAGTTAGAAAGTTCCATCAGTTTTATTCTGCCAAATTTCTCAAAATCCACTGCTCTAAATGCATGTAACTCTCTTATGCGCAGTTAAACAACATTCAAGAAAGCATCGAATTCGTAAACTCCAGGCCCAAGCCTCTTGCCATATATGCCTTCACGAAGGATGAGTCGCTCAAAAAGCAGATAGTGTCCGAAACATCTTCCGGAAGCGTGACATTCAACGATGCCATAGTTCAGGTAATGGAGTTAGATGCTCATCACATATACTTTTATTAATTGCCTATAATTCCGTCACACGTGGTACAAAAACAAAAAGAGTTGCCCCCGGAACAGTTTACTGAAAGGATCAAGCTCGAGCCTCTTAAAGAAACAGAGAAATAGAGGTCGACTGTGCACATCTTATATGGGTTTGCATAGGAAATTATGGAAAGTGAAGTGTCTGGTGCAGTGTCCATGAAATTCATTCAAAAGAGTATTATCAGCCCAGAAGGTTATCTTATGTTCCATCCTGCAATGCAGTTCGTATGTGATGATCTGCCTTTCGGGGGCGTTGGTCAGAGCGGCTTCGGGAGGTACCACGGGAAGTACTCTTTCGACACCTTCAGCCACGAAAAAGCCATCATGACAAGAGGATTCTTCCCCGAGATCGAGCCGAGGTATCCCCCGTGGAACCGCTTCAAGTTGCGGTTTATCAGGCTCGCTTACGATTTCGACTACTTTGGCCTGCTGCTTCTGATGCTAGGATTGAAAAGGTAGACAAACAGAGAGCCTATCCTTCAACTCTGCAAAATGCACTTGAAATTTAACGCAGTGAACTGCTTTGCGTCAACCTTTCGCTTTGAATTCCTTATCTGTAATAAAACTCTTCTTGAAGATCATTTTTTGGGAAAGCAGGCATGAATTTCCTGTCCTTCTAGTGAAAGTTTTCGTCGAACATGCTAATGTAGAGTGAAGAACTTTTTTCTGCATTGGCGTCCGGACTGTTATATACTGCTCTATCACATCTCAAGAGAAAAAGAACAATATCAATGCCAAATCTATTGCGAGTTTAGTGCCAAAACTTTTTGAACAACCAATAAAATATCCTAACTTTTAGAAATTAATCATTTAAGTGACTCCAATGCCGGAAAAGTTTACGAAGCATAAATTTTAATAATAAAAACTTGTCAAAGTGAATTAAATGGACAATTTTAAAAAAGTTTTGATCGTCAATAAAGTTTTCACACTAAATTGATCGTGCATGACATTTGGGCCCTAAACTTTATAAAATTAGAATTAGACAAAACCACGTTGCGAGTTAGAAGCTAAAATCTAAAGCAAATATTCTGCTTCTTGCCACCGTTTTTCTTTATTTTGTTAAAGGCCAGTGCCACGAATAGTTTTGACGTCATACTCTCATTTTCTCACTTGGTCCCGCAACATGAAATCGGGAGAAATGATTTCTTTCTAGCCAAAAGGAGAAATTTATCCCCTAATACTGTTTTCGATCAATGAAAGACATTTTTCGAGCAGTTTTTTTATTGTCTACACGTTGGAAATCCCGAAACAAATTTACAGAAATGGTTTTTCATCGAACAAACGAGACCCGGTAAGAATCTCTCTTATGCCAATGCCTCCATGTATGGATTTTTATAAAATTGTGAAGGGATCAATCTTTGAATGTCTCCTGGAACATCTATTGTCTGGCACTAGGGAATTAGGCTTTTGTTTTAGATGGGAGTTCGGTTTTCTTTGGCAGATCTAGTTAAATCAGTTGGGAACTTGGGGCTACCTTCAGTTTAGGATGAGCCCGTTTCAAGGGAATAAGATAAGTAGAGTCCAATCAAACTAGATTTTTCGTTTCTATTCGGGTTAATAAATTCTAAGATTTGAAGTGTCGGCAAATGTTCTAAAATATTCGGGCTACATTTGTTTCACAGAAAAATGAATGAATTGAAATGCATTTTCCCAAAAAATGATCGCTCATATCGCTTACAAAAATGAATGAACGAAAAATAATTTCACCGGTCCCGAAGATATTTAGATATGAGTTGTTGTTGATAGTGAAAATATTTTCTATTGACTAATTATCTCGAGCAATACAGACGATCATTTTCAAGAAAATGTTTTTCATATCATTCATTTTTAGCAAAACAAAATGTGTCCCGTTTGCCAAAAGAGAAATGGTTCCTAATTTACCGGAAGTCGTGGTAATCTCGACTGCATCTATAGCCAGAGTTTCCTTATAGCCCTATGGGCAGAAATTCTGCTATGGAGTTCGAAACACGATAGAAACTTCCACTGTCAACAAAATAAATTCCTTCAGATTATGGTAAATAATGTTACCTATACTTGGTAACTGTCTTCAATAATAGATAATTTTCCTATGAGCTCCTACAAATGACAGTTAGTAAACTTCCTTCGAATACATTAAGTTACATGGAAGTCTTACAGGGTTAAATGGCATGGCATCAGCAACATGAGAAATCATAAATAAAACTGAAATTATATTGAATTCCTTTATTTATACTTTCGATAATTTACTTTATTGATCATTACATGTCTTTGCAATTTATATACTTAAGGAACTTGTCTGTCAGTATTTGTCTATGATCAGCAACTTCCCTCAAAAGAGGGTAACTGATTTGGCATTTTTCTATAAAAAGCCATGGAATGTCCCTCTTATGAGTAGGGTTGGGTAACCTTTTGGGTTCACCTTGGGAACCGGCCAAAATCCGCCTTATCGGTTCAAGTTTGGTTCCAAGGAGAACTGAATAGGTTCACAGGTTCAAAAATTTGGGAATCAAGTAGGTTCGATTCGGTCCCGTCCACAAGTTCTACCAAACAATGGAACCAACTTGGCTAATTCCCGGGCAGAATCTGCTTTGCACGGCCTGCTCTAAAAGGATTAGCATGCTTTTCTTATAGAATTGTCTTATAATTGTGTTAACAACTCCAAATAAAAAAACAAAAGGCTCACAAAGACAAAGTCTCAACTCAAAATGAAAATAAATAAAAGATGGAGCGTAGGTCTTGGAGACCGGTTCCAGGGTAGACTGGTTCGATTCGTCGTTCCAAGAATTCAGAATCGATTCCCCCATTCGATCCCCAGTTTCAGTCTTGTTTTGGCTGAAATAAACCATTTTCATTCCAATAACTTAACTAGAAGAATAACAACCACTAGCGTCTAAGCATAACAAATCTCAAAGGGATTGAGGGGCTTAGAAAGCCTATCAGTAGAAAGGAAGTCTAGTTTATGGATTTTAGCGATCCAATCGGCATACTGATTAAGTTACCACCACACCTTTAAGTTGATACAAGAGGCTCAAGCATTCTTAACCTGATAAGCACTCAACAATAGTAGGTTATAAGGGTAAGAAGGGATAATTGTTGGTTAGTTTTGTGCCTCTCTCACCCCAAAAGTTAGCTCAAAATGTGAGACCTCACACTTATAAACCAATTTATCAGCTTATTTCACAATCAATGTTGGACAACCTCAACAATCTTCGGTCTGATACCAATGTTAGATGGTCTTGAAACTCTCTCATCCCAAAGCTCGTTTTGCAATCAATGTGGGACAATTTCAACAATCTCCCCTTTACAAATCGAGTCCTAACCCGTATCTCTCCCGTGTGACTGTTGGGTCCAAACTTGTTGGTAACATGGGCTCTATTGAGCATCTCTCATCCAAAAACTAGTTCAAAGGGTAAAACTTTCCCTCACACTCCTAAGCCGACTGCCAACCCTTTCCATAATCGATGTTGGACTATCTCAACAATAACAAGCACAACTACTCTACCTAGGCAAAACCATAATAGTCCGCACTCATCACAGAATTTTTTATTTGAGTCATAACTTTTTTTTATCGAAATCTGAGCCATAGCTACTCAGTCTATCTATAAATGTTTGTGCTCGTTATGACATAAATGAGGACCTCTCTTTACAAGAGGTAGCAAAAGCTCAAGACACACATTGGCCAGAGTTGCTCACAACATGGCTCGAATTTGTGAAGATAATGTGACCCCTACTACCATACTCAATGGTCTTAATGGACAGTCTCTTTTACTTGAAATTTTATCTAAATTCGATTTCAAGTAATATGGCTAATTGTAATCAATAAATGGTTGTGGACCTCACGTAATCGAGCGATGATGGGATTAATAGGAAAATGAAGGAGATAATTCGAATATGACATGACATAATATGCTCTATTCGTATACTAACTTAAAATGTATGTTTTTTCACCTTATTTCTGTTCCTTTTATCCCTAATCAATTTTTTAGCTTGTTAGCAAAACTTATAATTCTGACAAAAAAAAAACAATAATAATAACAAAAGGGATAATGACACAAATAGTCCATGAATTTTGGCCTAATGTGCAATTTGATCTCTGAACTTTTAATTTATTCAATATAGTCCCTGAACTTTAGTCTAATGTTCAATGTGATCCCTAAACTACATTGAACATGAGGCTACATATTAAATATTAGATTAAAATTCAGAGATTATATTAAATAAATTAAAAATTCAGGGCTCAAATTTTACATTAAATTAAAATTCAGGGATTGTTCTTCTCATTTTCCTCAATCCAAAACTCATAACGCTTTGACGTTCAATAACCCGACAAAAATGACGAATGCAGGACGAAGCTTGTAAGAAGGAGAAGGAGGAGAATCGTCCCGACAATCGCGAGCGAAATCGAAGAATCACCTCCTCCTCCCGCGACAACGCCTCCGGAGACCGATGTCATCCGAAGGCGCTGCATCCTCCCAACCGCCCGCCGCAACCGCCGCCAAGGACGGCGACCGGGACGATCCACCGAAGCGATCGCCGCCGCCACCTCCGCCGCCGGAGAAGCCGCTGCCCGACGATTGCTGCGGGAGCGGATGCGTCCGGTGCGTGTGGGACATCTACTACGACGAGCTCGAGGCATACAACAAGCTGTACAAGATCGACGGCTCCGGCACCGATCCCTCGACGCCGTCCTGACCCGCGGGACCGCCGGTTCATTTCCAGGTCCTCGCCGGAGGAACTCGCCGATTCTTTCATTCTTTATTCCGATGTCGTATTCGATTTGCGTTGAATGCTTTGGATTGTGCACGCCCGTTGTGGTCAATTGCCCGAGACGTTGCTCGCTCGAGACGTCTGTAGATTGAAACGGGTTTAGCTTCTTTGATCGACTTTGATGTTAAAGTTTGTAGCTTTGGGCAGTTTGATTTTCAGGTGAATGAATCTTTGAGTTGAGAAATTCTTAATTTAGAATGGCACATGACCATGTTATTTCTTCGTCCTCTGTCTCATGTTGAGAAAAGTTTAAGTCAATGTAATCTGGTTTCAGATTATTGGATCTGTACAGGGAGAAAGTGCTCTTTTACATGAACAATGCAGCATGTAATTGTGAAGGTAGGATGTAATTGTGAAGATACGACTATCTCAGTTTCATCGAGGGAGGTACTGTGCCATTGCTGTTTGCGCTAGAATTTGAATTGATGAACCTGAATATCATTATCATGTTGGCGAAGTTTGTTTACGACTTCTAACATCTTAAACTGAACATTGGGTTCCACATGATTCAACCGGCATCGCGAGTCACCATCTTGTCGCCCCTGGATGTTTATTATAAAGGTATAGTTGATTTGAACAATCTCTGCACAAGCAAAACAGCTGAACCGGTCTGACAGTGCCGTGTATTTCTTTCACCATTCTTTGGATTTTTTCAAGCTCCAGAATCTGCGAGCATTATCTACTCCTATAGACGAGGGGGGGTCATGAGATAACCTATGAGCTCTCTTTTGTCATGGTAGATTACTCTGTCACTAGGTAATTGGCATACATGCCGCGAGCATTGCTCTGCATTTCTCAATATGGCTCTGCAGTTCTATTTTTCAATAGGAGCAAAAGTATGGTTCATACCAAAACCACCTCTGAACATGAGAAGGTGCAAACTGTATATAAAAGAATGAGGCCAAAAAGTTGGCCGAATAAACCCGCGAATGGCGACTCTTGGATTGCAATCCATCCAAAATTTTACATTCATCCATTTGAAAATTAATGAATATACGCTGTTACATAGCACCCGCCTATGAAGTCTACTGCACGCGCGAATAGTTAAAAAGGTGTACCTATTGCTGCTTGAAACACAAAACCAAGGGCACTTACCTTAATAATCAGGAAGTAGCTGTGTATATGCTTGGCCGCCAATCACCTTTCTGCGCACTGAGAATCCCTTCTTGATCTTTGGAGAATGTTAAGTGGACCTCCCAGTGCAGTGATTTAAGTAAGTTCTCGACCTCCCCTATTGCGTTGGACTCATCGCGGACTATTATTTTACCTCCAGGTCTCACGATTCGATCGACTTCTGCCATTACCGGGGCAAGCTTGCACCTTCAACAGACAAATTCAAGTAGAGTTATAGAAGGACCGAGAGAGAGAGAGAGAGAGAGAGAGAGAGAGAGAGAGAGAGAGAGGGGGGGGGGTGTGTGTGGGGACTGGATCCAGTTGCATACCTCTTCCTAAGCTTGGAGAAGAGATGATCTGCATGCAACAGGTCATAGGTTCTGGGGTACGTGCTGAATGACTCGCACCAATCATGATATATTCCGAAAAGTCCTCTCTCGTATATTATGGGAAGCGTATCTGGTGAGTCAACATTTACCACGTTCAGCACCCACATTTGGAGATCCTTCAGTGCAGCAGCAAATCTGCAAGCAAGCGAGAGAAAGCTCTCGTGAGACATTCATCTGATCTTTTACCTTAAAGAAGATTAAAATAAAAGCAAATCATACCCGCCATAGACAGCTCTCATGTCCATAACGTTTCTCACGCCAGACCAACTAATTCCAAGCCCCGACATGTACATGCCACTCACTACTCGTTTCCAGTGTTCGTAATCTGCAGAGAAATCTTGTGGGGCTGGTTTCCCATAGATCCCAATCTGGGAGCTGTTCAGCCAGTAAGGTGGCATCCGCATTCTGCGTGGCCAGACCACCGGCCATCGGCTCCCTCTCTCGGCCTCATTAACTGGGATCCGGTGCATGCATGCCTGAAGGGGGACATACCTGAGATTGCAACGATAGTCATGTTCTTGAACTTCGCTATGTTACTGTAAGCACGTCAATATGCATAATTTGCACTGATAATGCTATTGTACATCGGCAATGTTTGGAGCCACATGTTATATCCTCTATATATCACCATTTTAATGTCCTTGATTAGCATGCATAAGACTCTTTAGTAATGATCTCATCTTATCTTGGCCACTAAAAAGAAAAGTAAATAACGTTTGCTGCAGAATTTATTTGAGTATCTACCAGGCAGCATTTGGATCATCATCATTTTTACACATTGGAGGGCTGTTATGCTTTCTTTGCTCGTAACAGTCATTTGATCTCGGTTTTCGGTAGATGGCCGCCCCAATTGAATTTAGCTTGTCCTTCTGGATGGTCACTAGCTCCCAACACATATTTGCTGTCAAAGAAGACATTTCTGCATAGAGAAAGGAAAACATTGATTGATCGCTATGACCACTTATTGAGTAATTAACTTTTGGTTCTGTCTCATGTTACCTTTCCAGATTTGAACATCTTCTTCAAGTGTCTGGTACACCGGAGTAGCTGACCAAACAAAGAAACCTCCCGGCCTAAGAACACGGTTCAGTTCCAGCAGGAGCAGCCCGCCTTCAAGGTGAACCGCAAATCATAACTCATCATTCATCATCCATTAGCAACCATGAGCGGAGGAAAGGAGAAAATTCAAAATTCACTCAGAAGAAAAAGTGAAGAAATTGTGATAGAGAACCTTCAGCATGCCAAGGGACTCGACACCGTGCACAGTGCACAAGATCGAAGACTCTGCTTGGGAATGGCAGGCGCTGAGACCCCATAACAGCAGAAATCGCTGGTATTCCTCTTTCCAGGGCAAACTGAACCTGAGCCTCGTGTTCATCTTTGGGAGCGAATGACATTGTTAGAACATCTCTCTCGAAAAGGTAGCCCCCAAAGCTTGCAACTCCGCATCCAACATCTAGTACAACTCGTGTGTGCTTTCCCCATTTGATATTGGGTACTGACTGCACCAGATGACAAGTAACTTCTTAGGCTCAGTAACTAGAACTATGAATGAGGATGAGTATTAAGAAAAAAATCAGTGCAGACTAAGACATGATTGAAAGAAAAAACAAAGAATAGGCTAGTTGAGCTAACATATGCAGAAGGATAGTTTACTATGCCGATAGCTGACTATGCACAATGCAATCTATTTCTCTGAATGCTTACATTCTGAAGAAAATCGATGTAATGGAGCGCGCCATGTATGAACTGTGTGCCTCCGCCCGGAAAAGTTAGAAACTCACCAGTCACCTTAACCCAATTCTGGTGACCCTTCACATCAGCGAGCGTCTTGTGTGGCACATTATAGTACCATATCTGCCAGACCCAACAAATATGTTACATGAAAAATGTCTTTGGTCTTAATCTACTGCATTAATCAAGGGGATTTAGACGGAAACAAATACATGAGCTGCACACAATCCTGCATGTGATGTGACCAGATATTTGTACTACTTCAACAGCAATATTGCTCCATAAGTTTTATCTTTGACAGTCGACTAAAAGTTTAAGGGAGTCGAGGCATGATGTAATCCTTAAGTACAACTCAGCTTGAAAATTCGAAGTCCACAATCTCGATTTGAACGTGCTCGGACTTGTGTTTTAGTTCAGATGAACACCAGTTTGATCATTGAGATGTTATTGCCAGCTCGAGCTAGGCCAGAAACAATGTGACGAATGACATACAGAATCTAGCTGGAATACCTTCTCTCTGCTCTTGGGCCACTCGATGGACCTCTTATATCCCTCAGGGACTTGGACCAGGCACGTTGGCGCGTCCTCAGGGCAATGCCTCTCCCGATGCTCGAAGTGCTTGGTGCTGTGCAGCTTCCTCAGCGCCTTCTCGTTGTCCAAACATGGTATATAGTCCGGACCTGCCGTCACATTGCAGAGCTGCCATGTGTAACCGTAGATGCTATCGTCGCCGCCTGTCCCCCCCTGCCCCCTCCTCTCCTTCTGATTCTCCGACTGTGTCGCCTGCGTCGACCACGACCTCTTCGACTCCTTCGATTCCTTTGGGATCCCCGAGTTTTCCCCGCTCGGAAATGATCCATCCGTTTTATGCGATTCTTCGTTTTGTTGGGCATCCTTATGTGTGTCGCTCTGGACTTGCATCTCATCGTGTTCTTGCTGGGCTGGGCTCGTCGCTTCCACGCGCTCACGCCTCCGATTCGTTGTGTCTTCCGGTTTCTGGGCCTCTTCTTGAGATTGCTGCTGCGATTGTGATGTTGTCTCGTCTTCCTCTCGAAGTCGCTGTTGCTCTTCTATCCGCTTTTGGCGATCCCCGTCCAACATTGGTTTTTGCGGCTCCTGTGCTGTGGCATCGTTCTCTTGCTGTGGCTTTTGATCTGTGTTCGCGTTGCTTTGCGAGCTTTCATTGCCTTCACGCGATTGCCCTTGCGAAATGTCATTGTTCTCGACTTGATTTTCTTGTTTTTGCTGTCGTTGTTGTTGTTGTTGATCCTCGTCCGTATATTTATTCTCGCCTCCTTGTGAGTTGCTTCCATTTTGAGAGCTTGCAGCCAGTTCTTGCTCTTGATTTCCACTTGTATCTTCATTGCTCTGTTGCTGCTGCTGCTCATCGCTCCTCTGTTCGTTGTTCTCTTCACTTTGTTGGTTCTGTGTCATCGTGCTCTCTTCAGACACTTGGTTCTCGTTCTCGTTCTGCTTTTCATGCGCCTCGCCGGATTCTTTCCCATGCAGACCCTGTGTGCTCACTTGCGCAGCGTCGTCATTGTTGTTTTCTGATTTCACCTCGTAGTTTTTGACGTCGTTGCCGCCGTTTTCTTGATCTCGCAATCCCTGCTTATCGTCGGTAGAACTAGCACCCTTCTCCGCATCGGTTTCGTTAGTTTGATTCTCCTGAGAACTCCCATTCGCGCCATCATTGTTGTCATTGGCATTATTGTTGCGGTTACTATTGTTGCCGTCGTTGCTGTCGGATTGATGAGAGTCATCAGATTTGATGGCATCGTCAGGGAGGTCGCCAGGATTGTCCTCGTACGAAGGGGTGTCTTTCTTGTCATCGGCCTTGACGGAGGAGGAGGAGGAGAAATCATCGTTGGTGGCAGCAGTGGTGGTGGTGGTGGTGGCAGCGGAGGAGGAGGAGGAGGAGGAGGAGGATCGTTTGTTGGTGGTTTGAGGAGGGACGAAGGAATCGGAGGTGAGCATCCAGACGCCGACGACGCATAGCGTGACGAAGACGATGGTCGTGACGGTGGACGTGTAGGAGGTGTACGAAGAGCGCTTGTTGTTGCGCGACGATCTTCCGAGAGGCATTTCGATGAGAGAGAGAGAGAGAGAGGGGTGATGAGATGAGATGAGATGAGATGGGAAATGGTGGAAGGAAGGAAGGAAGAGGAGAATGATGAGTAGATGTGTGGAGGGGGAAGAGAATCAGGTGGGAGAGAAGGGGATTGAGAGAGCTTGTGGAGGGAGATGAAGTTGCAGGTATAGAGATCCAAAAGTGTAGGAGGAGGGAATTTGTCCTTAGACCAAGGACTCCGTTTTGAACATGCAAATAAAAAATAAATAATCGAAGCCAAATATTTTTGGATATAATGATTAGGGGCAATCGGTTCCGAACACCGTCCAATGGAACCGATCACTTAGGATTTAGTTCACATTTATGTTAATGAAGTTCTCTTAGAGTTTAATTCACATTTTACTAATTTTTGTCAATAAAGTTCACTTAGAGTTTACTTCACATTTTACTAATTTTTTTTAAAAAATAAAAAAATAAATATATAAAGTATATGTAGTCGGTCCGGTTCGATCGGTCGGGTTTCCCCTTGGAACCGCACCGCTCGAACACTGATTCCACTTTTAGGAATCGGGAACTAGATTGATATTCCTGGAAACCAGACCAAACCTGCCTGTCTAGTCCAGTCTGGGCGGTTCCCGAGTTGGGCGGTCCATTTTGGACACCCCTAATAATGATCCCAACAAGTTAGCGGCACTTCCTAAGGAGGAAATTACTGATATATAGGCATGCACGAGTGCTTCAAACAGGAAGAATAAAGATCAGTCCATATATTTCTATTTCATAAGTTTTCAGATTTTTATATCGTATGCCCACGGTCGGATCGGGCAGTTCCTCGATATGGAAATGTACGGAAATGTATGCATGTTTTGAATATATAAAAAAGTCACATCCTCATTAATTTTGAAGATCGTTTGTTTAATGCATAATGAAGTCGATTTTCGACAGCGAGAAACTAACGAAATCAACAATAAACAAAACGGTTAGTTCCGAAAATTCGCTCGGGTTATGTAACTTGTTCCCAATAGATTATCCGTGTTTTCGATCATCGTTGGCGACGATGGAGAAATTCTTCTAAAATTCGTTGGATTAGATGGAATGTTCAAACAAGCCGATGAGGATGGACGACTCCCAAGCCTTTCTTCATACGCTTCCCATGCTCTTTGCTCCACAACAAAGGCGAGCAAAGAAACGTTCTTTTTTGTACATCCTCGAGTGTCAGTGTAATCTCGCCCCGCCCGGAAGCCATGCCGGCCCGATTGCGACCTGCTTCGTCGCTTCCGCTTTTCCACGGGCTCGAGTTCCTGGAGGATACATGCTCCGCCCTTTCCACCCACCAGAAATGCAGCTAGGACTTCCAAAACTAGTGTGAGAGAGGCGAAGTTCCCCTCCTCCTCGCCCTGAAGCGCGGAGCCTGCGTTCGGGAACAAGAAGAAGAAGATGTCTTCCTCCGTCGGTCCTACGTGCAAGCGAAGTTTTTCTTCTTCTGAGGCATCACCAGGCTGCTGCCTCCTTGGAACCCTCTTCCGTGCTATGAGATCGCGAAACTCTTTACTTCAACAGCTATCGACGGAACAGGTGGAAAGACGCGCACGGCGCAATGCCCTTTGGGCGCGAGCACCAGTGTGCTAAGCGGGATGCACGCCCCGAGTGCGCGCGGGGAAGCGCCCAAGAGCTAGGGGCAGCGCATGAAGGGCTTAGCGGTGAGCGCCGTGCACGAAGAGCTAAGCGCAGGCCTCAAGCACTGAGCGGAAAATGCCGCGCGCCGAAGAGCAAGCGTGCTGTGCAGCGCAACGCTTCGGGTCGTCCTGCCAATTCTTATTGCATGAAGAAAATCTGCGCTGATCATTCTTACACGAATATTTTTTGCGCAAGCATGATTCTTCTTTACGCGCGATGCTCCTTTTCGCATGTCTCGAAAGATTTCTCATTTAGAGGGCAGAATGGAGCTACTAAGTTTTGTTATCTCGTACTTATGCAAAATAAATATATTATTTCTATATATAATTTCCTAAATTTAGTAATAAAAATGCCCTTGACGGTTAGGTGCAGCTAGCGTTGTTTCATGCGAGAATGATTTAGGATGGTTGTTAGGATCCTCGGTAATTCTTATTCGAACGAGGTGTCTTAGAAACGTGTGGCTTGGTGAGCTCGAATCATGACTTGTTGGGTATGACTCAGGGTCTGTTTAGTAATGTTTCTGTTATTTTATTTTTCTGTTCTTTTGTTTCCAGGAACAGAAAAAGAACAGAAATCCGTTTAGTAAAAAAAATCTATTTTTTTGTTTCTGGAACAAAAAATTGTTCCTAAAATAGATTTGGAACAGAAACAAGAAGCAAAAAAAATCTGCTTCTTGTTTCTGGAACAAGAAAAAAGAAACGATTTTTTTTCTAGAATCCTCCAAAAACAAGAAACAATCCATCGGCCGCAACCCGCCCACCGCCGCCTCTCGCCGTCCTTCGCTGCCACCTACCGCCCGCCTTCCGCAGCCGGCCAATGCCCGCCGGCCGCCTCCCGCCCGCTAGCCGCCTCCTGGCCGCCTCCCGGCCGCCTCTTGTCGTCGACCACTGTTCTCCGCCGCTCGACGCTTGTCGCCACCCGCCACTGGCCGCCGTCCTCCACAGCTGGCCGCCGTGCTCCATCGTCCGACGCCGGCCGCCACCCGGCGCTAGCCGCCTCCCCCTGCCAACCACCCGACGCCGGTGATCACCCACCACCGGTCGCCGTCCTTTGCCGCCGCCGGCCACCATCCTCCGCCGACGGCCATTGTGCTCCACCGCCCGATGCCGACCACCGGCTGCCCTCGGCCGCCGGCCACCTCCCGCCCCTGGCCACCCGACGCCGGCGGTCACCCACCATTGGCTGCCATCCTTCGCCACTGGGTGGACCGACGATGGCCACCCTCCGCCGCTAGCCACCTCCCGCCGCCGCCCCCCGCTGCCGTCATCGCCGCCCAACGCCACCGTGCTCCGCCGCTGACCGCCGTGCTCCACTGCCTCCCACCGCCGGCCGCCATCCTCTGCCGCCGCCGACCACTGTCTTCCGCCCCCCACCACCACCCACCGTCCTTTGCCGGTAGCCCAAAAGGGAGAAACTCGTCCATGGAATAGAAACGAATTATTCGCGCCCTAAACGCGTTTTTATTCTTTTTTTATTCCAAAAATAGAAATTTTGTGCAGTTACTAAACGCTATTTTTTACTCAGAAACTGTTCCAAGAAATAGAAATAGAAAAAACTATTTCTAATCAGAAATTATTTCTGGGAACAGAAACGTTGCTATGCAGACCCTCAGTGTACTCCCTTTCTCTTTCCCTTTCCCTTTCTAGTGAGCTTGAAATCGGCCCATGTCCCTTTGACATGTGACAACCTATTTACAGGTCGATCTCGTCACTAGGATTGCCGCGGGCACAAGGCATGATGATGTCAACCATTCATCTTGGTATTCTCACTACAAATACCTTATCAATTCACTCATTTGGGAACTTTTTGGCAATTGGCTTATTCAGTACTTCTGAAAATTCTGGCTTAAGCACTTCTAGTAACCTTAGCGTCTCCGAACTTTGGGAAAATTCTGTAACGAACCGCTGAGAAACTCTCCACTACAAATGACATGACATTCTTTACCCACCACCACCTGACATCCAGATCCACTAGAATTGCCCGCTCCACTTCTCACACTCTCTAGACTTCATTACGTTTCCAGTGTTATAGTTGCATGGCGCTAACCCTTCCTCAAAGTTCAGGGACCTCGGGATCAAACTTTCTCAACACGAGCCAACAACAAACAAGCTTCTTACGCCATCGTGTATGTATTGTAAATTTTCTTTTAGGCTTCCCACAGTATGCATGTGAATTCGACAGCAATGTAATAAGTTTCGGTCCAGATCATTTTTCTTTGCATAGTTTGCTTCGTCCAACTTGAACCCATTCGCAGTTTCGAACCCCAGAAACGAAGGTCGATTTCGATTTTCGCAGACTCGACTCGTTCGATGTGCGGGCCAACGACGCCGAAATCGTCAAGAAAGGACGATATCTGGCGATCATTCGATCCCGGAGGACAACTTATCCTGCTCTCTACACGACGATTGTAACAGATACACCAATCACTTGCGTTTACGAAGTTCTTGTTTTCCTGACTATTATAGCGAACAAAATTTTTGCATTTGGGAAGTGCTTCCGATGCCCGGTTGAATGAACTCTCCTGTGATTTGGGCCACGTTTGGGCTTTGGGCTGCCCGACTTGTGGCCCATTAAATTTCGACTCAAGGCCCATCAACATGAGCGGTTGATACTATCGATCTCTCGGGTCGGGTCGGGTCATCTAGCAATTGTTATTAGAGAGAGAAATCTAGTAATGGATTCAAGGTATCAGTTGTGGGATGGATATCTCTACCAAGTAATCATTAGATGGGACATCAAAGCTAATGATTTTCCTGAAGACTTGGGCTTAATCTGACTTTCTGAGATCAGATTAAATTTTGACTTCTTGTGTTAAAGCACCGACACTAGAAAATTCGTGAAAAATTAATATCATGAAAAATGCCAAACTGATATATTTATCATAAATTTATTTTAAATTAATTTTTTAATTATAAAAAATTCAAAATTGATACACTTGTGATAATTTTATCTTCTACTGAAACGACAAGTGGCAATTGATAGGTGTACCAGTTTGAGATTTTACCATCCGTTTGTCATGGGTATACAAGTTTGCGATTTTTCGTGGTATTAATCCAATTTAACGAAGGGTAAATTTATCACAAATGTACCAGTTTAGAGTTTTTCGTGGTATTAACCCATTTCTTTTTTTATCGATCAACGTAGGATATGGACATGAGACTTCGGCTGTGTTCGTTTGCGGAAAAATATTTTTCCGGAAAACATTTTCCTTCCCCACCCCCAAATCCTTTATTGTTTTGAGGAAAATGATTTTCTCTTTTCACAAAGAGGAAATCATTTTCCCCCAAATTGAAGGCAAAATTGCCCATGGGAGGGAAAATGTTTTCCGCGGGAGAGGAAGTTGATCGCCGGTCACCGCCGTTGGTCTGCCGGCCGCTC